AGTCGGTGTGTCTGTGCCCACCGCCTTGGGCAAAAGGCGAGGTTTGGGCAACGCAACAGTCATCCAGTCCTGGCTCCTCTGACTCAGCAAAGCATCAGCAGCCACGACCAACACTTACCGGGAGTATTTTATCACCTCACAATCTGGATGATCGTGCATATGGCCTGAAACTAGTGCCAGACATCCAGCACGCGGGTAGGGGTGCGTGAGATGTCAGGCTGAGCAGATGCCCATGGAAAGAGGGACGAGCACCTGTGTACTCACAGTAAAATGGTCTGGTTGCTGAAAGCATACTGCATGGGGTGCAGCTCACCGCCAGCCCTGCAGAGCCGAGAATCAAGGGGGCAACGAAGGGACAGAGCACGGAGGAGAGCGCAGAGCCTTGGTGGGCTTTCCTAGTGCTGATCACAGTTACTGACCTCACTACTACCTCGAATTCACCCTTAAATCTTGAGCAAGTAATTCAGCGTTGAGAGGGGTCGCAGCTGGCTCCACTTGCGTTGCAGACCTGCTGCAGCTTTCTCCGCGGTGTCTGACAATTTGAGCTCCTCTGCAGCCAAGCTTTGGCACCCACTTTGGCATCAGTGCCGTGGGACACCGACCTTGCCTGGGACGGCAGGTTACTGCGGCCAGGATGGATGAACAGAGGCTTTAAGCACCAAATCTTGAGGGCACAGACACAGCTGGTTGCTAGAGGTCCTCTGGAGATGGTGCCAAGCTAGAGCTTTGCACTCGAAGGTAAAAGAACGTTTCACAGCACTGAGCCTGCTCTGCTGCAACGAGTGTTTAAAGCATTGGTTATTTGAGGAGGCTGGGACCTGAATGGGAAAAGCAGATGGGGCAAAAAAAGCTCATTTTCCTTCTGGAAGCTGGCGCACGGCAGAGACAAAGACACAGTAGTTTCACGCCCCATTGCTTGGGTGTCTCCATCCTCGCGCAGCGCAGAGGCGCAGGTCGCCACCGATCACCCCCAGGTGCATGACGTTTGGCTTGTCTGGGATGAAGACAGCCTGCAGCAACACGGACAAGGCTGGCGGCTGTCCCAGCAGGGATGGCACGGTGCTATCCCTGCGGGCGCCTGATAGAAAGCCCAGGCTATCAGTCCAGGAGCTCCAGAGCCAGCAGAGCAGCCTTTGAACTCATCCTGACTGTGCTTGCCTCTACCAGGGAGGACGTTCCAGGACCAGCAAACACCCTTCTGTGTCTGGGCGTGTTTTAAGGGGTCAGAACTTCAGCTAAGACTGAAATGAGTTGTGTCACTCAAGGCCAGAGCTATCTCCACCTCCCACTCTGAAGATTAATGGACTTTGAGGCTAGGAGGCCACCACAGTCTTCTCTACAGATCATCATGCTAGGCCAGCTCTCCCGCTCTCCATGCACCAGGCGTGTTCCCATTCTGTCAGCAGGTAATGAGCAAAACCGACCGCAGGCCCTGTCCACAGGGGTTAAACCAACAAACACGACTGCAACGCGGCTTCGCAGAGAGTTTTTATGGCAGCGCCTTGACCTGGCTCCCACCCCTCATCCCCCCCGCGCCTGCGCCAGCCCCCTCCCCTCAAACCGCTTCGTCGCAAGCCACCCTTTGGGGTGGAAACCTCACTCTTCCGCGTAAAAAAGACCGGACAGTGAATGTAGAACTATTGTTATTGAAGAGAAAAATCAGTTCAGCTCTTTTGCTAGGTTTTTTTTGAATGTGCCAGCAAGCCTGTTGGAGTTTGAGGGAGTTCAGCCCTATGCGGGGTGGCAGCTTTCCCGCGCCCCGTCTTGCTGCCCTCCAGCTCGCGGTGTCAAACGCGACGGGGCGTTGTCAGGGCCGCCCCGAAGAGCTCACACCCCTCATAACTCCAGCCTTAAATTGTACACAACATCAAGTTGGAGGCCGAGGAAATAAAGAAAAACCAGCATCACGACAGTGTTCAAGCAGTGGAACGTTTTGCAATTAACTTTGGCAGGAACCATGCGTGGGTGGGCGAAGGCTTGCGGGCAGGACCTGCCGCCTCGTCCCCAGCCACCTGCTCCTCCCCAGCGAGGATCGTCCCTCTCGTGCTGTCAACACAGTGACACGGTTGGTCCCCCTTGGGACTTCCCACTGACGTGCGAGGTGCAGAGGCTGTGGTGGGGCTGGGCAGACTGGGTTTGGACTACACCAGGTCAGAGTGCCTGCTGAAACCCCTGCATCTTCCTCAGATGAAGTCGAGGACATTCGGGTCTCCCCATCCTCTGCCTCCCTAGATCCCAGGCACCATCCCAAAACTTGACACAGTGGAGGGGTCTCCTGTGCCAAAGCAGCGAGTGCCCACCTGCACCCTTCCAGAGCAACGGAAAGGCATCTGGGGATTCAGGCAAAAGCAACCCCAATCTCACCAGCGAATCTCCCCAGCAGACCCAGAGCATCTCCGTCACACAGCCTGTCGGTGCGGAACGGCTCCAAAGAGGTGCCGGAGAATTAATCCTTGGGTCACTCTAGAGGATGGTTGGCCGGACGAGTCCTTCTCTAGGGAAGAAACAGACCCAAAGCGTCTTGCTGCTTTTTGAGCAAAGTCCAGAAATGGGAAAAGGAGCAGAGAAAAGCAGGGGAAGGGCCTTCGTTTGGTCCAAGGGGTGCTGGGGCTGAGTCCTGAGAATATCCGGATATTCACATTCCAGCCGCTCAGGCCCATCCTAACGTGCAGCTGCACAGGGATGTGCACACATGCACGGAGCAGCACGACGGGGTGGGCTCTTTCTGCCTTCCCCGATGGCGCAGGAGGGTGCGCTCTGGGGGACCCTTTTGCCCTCTCCCCTTGCCAGCCATCCACCTCCTCTCCAGCCACCCCAGCTTTCAGTGGGCATATTTTGGGTGTTCAGGTTTGTAAATGAAGCGGGCATCAACCTCTTCGCAAGTCACCCACCGGCAAAATGCTGGCGGTTGTCTCCCCAAAGCCAGGGACAGCACAAGCTTCCCGTGGCTCCTTCACCCACCCCACCAAACAGGAGCACAGCATCCGCCGCTTCACTGCCCTGTTCCTTCCAGCCGTATTTTTGCATTCCCACGCCGAAGAGGGAAGGTGCTGTGATCCTGTCAACACAATAAAACGCACCAGGAAGCAGAGGGTTTCAGCGCATTTCATTTGTAACCACAGTGCATTTTTGCATTATCGTATATAAGGCATAGACAGGTGATACATACATCTTCCAGGCATTTCCAACCCCTGAACAACAGGGAGACGCAGGGAGTACTTTACAGAGGTCCTACCTCCTGGCAGGCTTTGGTGGAGAGACATAACTGTGCTACGGAGGGCCCACGGCCAGGCGGACGGAGGGATGTGGCTGGTCAAGCAGCAATGCAGATGGGATTGAGTTGGTGGTTTTGGACACTCAGACCTGTTTTTACCCACCACAGCCCCACGGAGTCTTCTTGGCATGAAAATTGTCCCTGCAGCCTGGACGGGGAGCAGGGAGGATTGCGTGCAGGGCTGTCACCCTTTCCTCATCCTTATGCAATTGGATGCCCTAGATCCTGCTCTCCCATCACTTATGACCCATTCTGGTTCGTCGGGGAAGAGCTGCTGGTGAGTGCTGGGGAATAAAACATGGATTCTCACTGAGAGAGGCTCTGGAGAGGTAACACATGAACGTGTTTGGGTAGGGTTGCTTGTCTCTGCTGGGATAGACAGTGGTTGTTGCAATAGGGTGGGTGATGAGCATCCAGATATAAGCAGTGTTTTGCATGGGTCACTCATCTTTTGGGGGCTTTTGGCACCAAGACTTAGTTTCTGAAGTAGATGGAGGTGACAGGGCAAGAATGCCAAGATGGGAAATTTCACAGTCTCTGCAAACCAAAGCAAGGGAGTGAAACAGTGGGCCTGATTTCCCACTGCAGATAGGAGAGCAAGGCCTGCCAGCACTCAGCAAGATACTCAGACCCTCCCCAGCAAGGCTGGGTTATGGTGGAAGAGGTGCCCACCGACATCTTCATAAAATATAAAACCCAAAAGTCATTACGAAAGGTGCAAATACAAGCAACTTTTGTCCTCGGCTCATCAGATCCTCAGGGAGAAAGCATTATGGAAAATTTGACTGAAACATGGTAGTTTGATAGTAGCTAATAAACGGGGGTGTGGATGCAGATGAGGTTGGGAAAAGTCTAGGGAAAAACTGAACAAATGCAAAAATGAAGCATTTAACCGTGCTGGTAAAACGAAACACCCACCCTGGGGAGTGCAAGCCCAGAGCCAACTTCACTGCTTAAGATTTTGGGGAAAGGGATGCTGGATCAGCCAAACCTCAGCAGCAAGGTTTTTATAGCTGCATGTTCTCCACGTCAAAGACACCATCTTCACACGTGACAGTGAGCTGCCCTGTGCAATACTGGTGCTGTTACGGTACTGAATAACAAGGGATTTCATGCCCGACGTGTATCATCCCTACCCCGCAAAGCAGTTAGGCGTGTGCTTTTTTCCCTGCCTTCTGCTAAGAACAGGCTTAAGTGCCGTGCTGGAGCAGGGCAGGAGCTTACGTTAGCACAGTTTGTCCTGAGAAACTCTGATCCCCCAGGATCACTTTTCGCTGCTGCTTGCTCTCACACGTCACGCTGAGTGGCAGCAGCTCCAGGGGACAAATGAAGCTGAGGGAGACATGTCTCATCCTGC